GTTACTCTTTGTTTCAGCCTTATGTTGCTGACACGTTTTTGTCCCCAATAAGTCTTTTTCTTATAGATTTGTGTTTCAGTTGCATATTGTTGCATAACAAATAGCCTCAAACATAGAGGCTTAAAACAATAAGTTGTCACCACTGTCGCTAAGTTGGAGAGTTGTTTTGCTGGTCTTGCTTGGGTCTCCCATGGGGATGCAGTCAGAGGGTCGTTGGGGCTGAAATGTTCAATATGTATCCGCTAATATGTCTGGTGCCTTGGGGAAATGGCTAGAAAGATGGGCTCAGCTGGCATGCTGGAAAGGTTGAGCCTCTTTTCTCTCCACGTGGTCTCTCCATATGGACTCTCCATCACTCTCCATGGATCAGACTTAATCCATGGTGGCTCAGGGCTTCCAAAAGCAGAAGCTGCCAGGCACAGCATTACTTCTGCCACCTTTTGTTGGTTAAATCAAGTCACAGGGCCGGCACAGATTCAGTGTGGGAGTGGACCACTCAAGGATGTGAATATTGAGGGCATGGTTCACTTGGTCCCAGGTTTGGAGACTCGTCTTCACAGCTTGCCAGTGTGACCTGTCTGGTATCTGATAGATACTGGGTCTGGAGGACAGAGGCGATTAAAACCCTGGCTTTGCCACATTTCAGCCCTGTGACGTTAGACAGGTTACTTAAGCATCTCTCAGCTTCTAAGTCTTTCCCTGTAAAAAAGGAATGATAGTAATCGTCGCTATTGCCTATTGAATATCACTCTGTCCCAGGCACTGTTCTAAGCGCTTTATTTACATGAACTCGTTTAATCTTCTCAGAGGTCCTGTGAAGCAGCTACCGTTATCTTCTGAAATGTACAGGCAGAGACATTCAGATTCAAAGAGGTGATGTCGCCTGCCCAAGGTGGCAGTATTGGGATTTGAAACCAGACAGTGTGGTTTCCTAGTCCATGCTTTTAATCAAGCTCTGTGTTTTCTTCCAGGAAAATTGTGAGACATCCGTGAGATATTCCAAGTACATTGGTGCAGTGTGTAATACATTGTAAATGCATAATAATCATAACGGTTTTGGATGTTCTCAGTGTTAGCACCATCCTGAGACACCTAGTTTGTCACAATTGCCTTCCATTCCTTGGTTAAGATGAGTTAGTACAAGTTGTTCATTCCCATTTTTCTTTATGTGATTCTACACAATATTCCCATTTCATATTTGAGCCCATCTCAAATATAATTTGTTCCCTGGGTTTGCTTCCTGGTATACAGCCAAGGGAGTCTAAGACTCTCCTTCTAGGAAACAACATTAGATTGATGCTCTGCCTCTAGCACATCGCTGTGGATACAAATCAATCTCCACTGAAAATGCTGCTGATTATTAGACTTGAACTCCAGTTCCCGAGGCCCCATTGCTCTATTTAAGATCCACTGAGATGCTCCGAATGATATTTCAGACTGTTGAAACCAATTCTGTATGTTCATATTTTTCTACCCCCATCTCCGGGCCCTCAGGTTTTGGCCGTTTCCTGACATTATGAATCTGTTTTTCTATCTGCTTCCTCCCTCTCCCTTCCAACTTACTCATCAGGGTTTTCTGACTTACTGATTGTTGACTATCTGTTGTGTGTGTATGTTTTTTAATAGAATTAAGACAGTCTTTCCGCTACTTAGGCCTGGCTGAGCGTTGCTGCAGCTGATGTGAAAAAAAAAAAGATTAGGAGTTATTTTTGATTTTTCTTTTGTCCTCTCTCCCTACATCCAATGCATCAGCAAGTCCTATTGGCTCTGCCTTCAAAATTTCTACTCCGATTGTTCCTTTATCCACCACAAGCCCTGGTGTTCCTTTGGAACACTTTTCCCCTGGACTCATGGAGAAGGCCCCTCCCTGATGTCACAGCTTATATATTATTTCCCACCTTTTGAACATTCAGCATCTAGAATGGTCTTGGAAAATAGCGTCAGATCATGTTATTCCCTGGCTGAAACCCCTCCAGTGGTTTTCCATTGCATTTACACAAAATTTGAGGTCTGACCAGAGCCCACAGAGACCTACTTATCGGGTGAGATCTAGGCCTACCTCTGTAATCTCACCCCCCAACCCTCTTCCTGCTGTATTTTCTTTGCAGCACTTATCACTATCTGGGACTACTTATTTTTCTTTATTGTCTGATCTACCACCATTCCTGACCCTCTCACCCCCACCCCTACATAGAAAGACAACAAGGGGCAGGGGCAGGAATGTTAGTTTTTTGAGCATCATATACTCAGCACTTGAAATATATGTCTAGCATGCAGAGGTGTAGGATTCATATTTTTAAATGAATGGAGGCATAAATTGCTTTTTTATATGGGAATCTAACTCTTGGCCAGGTAGTCTTCTTATATCAACCATTTTCATAGCTTTGGCTTATTTATTTATTTATTTAAGACTGAGTTTTGCTCTTTTCACCTAGGCTGGAGTGCAATGGCATGACCTCAGCTCACTGAAACCTCCACTTCTTGGGTTCAGGTGATTCTCCTGCCTCTCCCTCCTGAGTAGCTGGGACTACAGGCATGCACCACTGTGCTTGGCTAATTTTTTTGTATTTTTAGTGGAAACTGGGTTTCACCATTTTGGCCAGGCTGGTCTTGAACCCCTGACCTTAGGTGATCCACCTGCCTCTGCCTCCCAAGCTGCTGGGATTACAGGCGTGAGCCACTGTGCCCAGCCCAGCTTTGGCTTTTAATGTGCAGATCCAGGGATCTCTTTTGAATACTGGCTCAGCTACAGGAATAAAATCCTTAACTTTGTAAAGTCAGCCACATTATTTTGTGTTTTCTAGACTGTCATGCAGTATACTCCTGAATGATTCCATGAGATAGGTGTAAAGCTGGGTGGAGGAGGGGGGCACATAACAATATTACTTTTCTTGTAACCATGTCACAGTGGGGTTTGTATTTCCTTGTGATCTCTGCCTTCCATGTTGAGGGGTTAGAAATAATGACCAGCAATACAATACAGCCAACATTTTCTCTTTAGACAGCCTCTTTACCAGCATCCATGAGCAGTAACTTTTCCTTAGCAACCTGGCAGACCTATCCCTGCTGTGGTGATTCCTGGTAGACTTTCTGAAATCTGAATGTCATCAGTGAACTCTCTAGCTTGGTAGCATTTTTTTCTTCTTCTCCGTTTCCTTCCTTCTCATCCCCATGACCATTTCTCATGAGGAGTTTCATTCCCTTCATGAAGTTCAGGTTGCCTAACTGTTGATGCGTTTCAAATATTTTTGGTCTCAGCCCAGGTTGATCCAAACCAGGTTTCTAAATGCCTTACTTAGTTTTAAAGGAGTTTGAAATTAGAAATGAAAAGAAAGAGAAAGAAAGTAAAAAATGAAGGGCACTAAAAAAAATGGAAAAACCTGACTGCTTCGAGACCTAAATGATAAGAGATAAAATTGAAAAAGGCTTTGAGTAACAAGGTCTCTAAAAACATCCAGTTAATGAGACTTAGCCAAGAGGAAATGAACAAGAATGAGAATGTGTCCTTCTCATCTGTTGTTTCAGAAAATTGCAAGGTTGCATTAAGGGAAGAGAAAGAGGCCTGGAGGAAGAGAAAGCAAACCGTCGAGATAGGCTTGAAAGCACTTTTTGGGACAGAACTTTGTGTACGTACTGAAATGTGGGACTTAGTGGAAGCAAACAGGAATCTACTACTTTTTAAGGGAGGGAAATTGCTGTGAAACCATGAACCTGGAACCTAAAAGCTTTCAACTATTGAGTCCTAAAAGCAGTTTCAGGCCAGCACACTTGCATCAGCAGAGGGCTGGCTGTTGAAGCTGGGTAAGCCCCAAAGGTTGCATTCTCCCCAATATCCACTGTACATATAGCCATGGTGGATAATGGAAAAGGGAGGCCCTTCAAAAGGGAAGAGTCAGAGGTCACAGAGGACACAGTGACAAAGGAGTTCTTCTCAGAAAACAGAATCAGAGTTGAATATAAGAACTTAATCTAGGCCTTCCTAATGCTCTCCAAGCAGGATTTCAGAATTGCTATGAACCATAATGGGCATGTGTGTTTTCCTCCTTTTCAAACAAGGTCTTTAATTTGCTGTTACTCTGTCCCTGTGCCACCATTGTATATTGGGTGTGTGTAGAGTAGGGGGTGGGTCGGGGGGCAGATAATTTTTCTTTTTAGTTCATAGGTCACTGGACCACCAAGAGACCTGATGGAGAGTAGTGAGACATTGGCAATCTTGAGCTTTGACCTCGATGTGGTGACTGGGAAAGATAAGTGTGGAGGAATAGTGAAACAGGTATTTGGTAACAAGAAGAGCAGACCATGTTAGAGACTGATGGAGTTGATCAAAGTCTGTTTCCTTTGCCTTCTACGTGCACAGCTAGTCTACTTCCTTGATGTTAAATGAAATCATGGGACTCAGTTCTGGCCAATGGAATATGCAGGAATTGAAGTACAATACTTCTATTTTTGACTCCTGCAAATGTCCTTGAGATCCTCCATGCTGTAGAGAATTCACTGGAGGGTTCCGTGGCCTCAGGGATGGCAGCGCCACTAGATGGAAAAATCCTGGGTCCCTGAATAACCATGTGAGGCAGAGCCTCTGACGTGCTTTGGAACATGACATGAGCAGGAAATAAGAATTAATTGTGTCAAATAATCTAGCAAACAAATCTTTACTTTGTTGAGATTTTGGAATAATCTATTATCACAATTAGTCTACCTTGCCCAATGCAGCCATTAAAGCTACTTGCAATGAAACAAATAGGATATGTGTTGGTTTTACCTATTACCCTCCAATTTTTTTTCACCAAATAATCATAGAAGACTGATATAGTTTGGCTGTGCCCTCATTCAAACCTCAGCTTCAATTTTATCTCCCAGAATTCCCATGTGTTGTGGGAGGCATCCTGGGGGAGGTAATTGAATCATGGGGACTGGTCTTTCCCATACGATTCTCGTGATAGTGAATAACAAGATCTGATGGGTTTATCAGGGATTTCCACTTTTGCTTCTTCCTCATTCTCTCTTGCTGCTGCCATGTAAGAAGTGCCTTTTACCCTCCGCCATGATGATGAGACCTCCCAGCCATGTGGAACTATAAGCCAAATTAAACCTCCTTTTCTTCCCAGTCTCAGGTATGTGTTTATTAGCAGCGTGAAAATAAACTAATAAACTAATAAACCTCTGTGGCTAAAACCCTACTTTTGACTGAGACTGAATTTTCTCTTATGGCCCACATTGTTCTTGTCTTCTGAAGTTAGCCAGTCACCAAGTATTACTGAGTGTCTAAACTCAGATCAACTACTTACTAGCTATGTGACCTTAAGCACATGTTAGCTTGTTTGTGCCTCAGTTGCCTCATCTGCAAAACAGAAATAGTAATAGTACTTACCTTGGGTTTTTGTGAAAATTAAGTAAATTAATCCATATATAGTGCTTAGCAGAGCAGCTGGCACATAGTAAGTGATCAGTAAATGTTATATGATGATGATCATCATCAGTTGCTTGGCACTATGAACAGCATTGAATGAGATATGCAAGATCTGGTCTTCCGTGAGATGTCTGCTATTTCAGGAGCCTTATTTTTGATCTTGCACTTGTTCAGCATAGTCTCCATTAAATACTTAATTTGAAGAGAAGGGTTTTGTCTCCCTCTAATCTACTCTAGAATACACTGATTACAGTTGAAGATGTTCTCTGTTTAGCTGAGTGTTCTGAGTCAGTATCCGTGTTCCATTTAGAGGCTGTGAGTGCAGTATTTGTTTGTACCCTGCGGCAATTGGAGTGGGAGGAATAGAGGGAGGTTAACATCCCTATTGCTGGAAGGAACTACTTTCTGCTCAGAGCCACTTCCTGCTTGGATTGACTTCCTTACAGCCACTTCCTACTTAGAATACTAAGATAAAAACAGCTGCCATTGTACCTACAGAAGTACACTTTCCTTCTTTTCCTGTCCCTGTTCTCAAGGTACACTGCCAAGGCATCTCACTTCTGATGGTGTATAGGCAACACTTGCAAAACCCAGGAGGTTTAGAATCCTTTCCCTTCTTTATTAAGCTATGAGAACAGAGGCTGAACTTATACCAGCGATGGCCTCATCCAGCCCCCACACCATGCATTTAGATGCCTGATTTACCTGCATGCCTGAGTTAATGTCTTTTTGTCCATGCCATCTCCCTATCACACACCCTTCAGTGATGCTAACTAGGCAGGCACACCCACTTGCCTTGGCATGTTTTATGGACGACCCAAGCTGCAAACATCAACATGTATAAGACATATGCTCTCTTCTTTGTGTAATTTCAGGCACCAAAATATGCCTACACAGAGGGGTATGTGCATACAGACACACGCGTATTCTTTTTTTGCCTGGTAGAAATATACTTCTGTGATGTTCCTTCAACTCCCACACATGCCCCTCCATGGCTGGCACATCTCCTAATTATTCCCATCCACTCCCTCCCATAGACCTTTTGTGTGTATATTTTGGCACACATTCTCTTGGTTCCGCCTAGTTCCTTTCTCTCTTTCTTTCTCTACCTCCCTCCCTCTCCCTCTCCCTCTTCACAGCTCTTAGGAAAATTTGTTAAACTATACACTCTTTATTATTAATGTACATTTATGAAAAATTCTTCACAGTTACAAAAGTACATGGTTATAAAATCATCTCCATACAAAGATTGACATCTTCCCTCTAACCCCACCCCTCCCCAGCCCTCCCACCCCCAGACATTAGCACATTACAGGACAGTGCTTAGAAAAACTGAGAGCTCTGTGGATCCAGCTCTCCGCCCAGTGCTGTGACAAACACAATAGTGATTTACAAAGGACCTTGTGACGCCCTCACTTCCCTTTTGCCTCTTCCTGGGGTGGGGAAGAGCAGACAATTTTCTCTGGCTTTAGGAAGATGTCCTTTTGAGGAATGGATTAAGATATATCTTTTTACTCTTCTACTGCTGGAAAGGATGTCAGCACAGACACCTGTAGGGGAAAATGGAAGCTGCAGGTCTTCCCCCATGGTTGAAGACAAACACCTCTCTTGATCTGTTCAAATTTCATACATGTCCCTCCTTGAAAGGAGCCATGAGCCTCTATAGCAACTCTGGAGACCTATTTCTGCAAAGTTCCCTGGGAATTCCTCTAGGAATGGAGAAAGAGAGATGAGGGTTTGTCTGAGAGTGACCAGAGATAACTGGCCCAAAGTGGTATGATTCAGATATGAGGGTTCTTTTAAAAAGAAATTTTATTGGCCCAAATCTTGACCAAGCTGAACGTTGATATCCTCTGGCCCGGCATGGAGGAAGCTTCTGCAATGAGGGCAAGTCTCTGAGGGGCAGGAGAGAGCAGAGGGAAGCAGGGAGAAGTCAGGTTCTCATTGGGATGCCTCTGCCACAGATTTTTCTTCTTCTTTATTTTTTGAGTATCCAGTCCTGCCCTAAACCTGGTAGGATTCCATCTTAATCTATCAAACAATGTAATATTAGTTTGGTGCAAAAGAATTGCGGTTTTTGCTATCACTTTTAATGGCAAAAACTGCAATTACTTTTGCATCAACCTAAATATGCCTATTTAGGCATGTTTACTTATGCATATTTAGCCACTCGGCCTATGGCTGAGTGCAGTATGTCAGAGAACTGAACCCAAATTCCAGAGAGATCTGTCCCACGTCAGCAGACAGCCAACATACAAGGAACCTCACAGACGGACATGCAGATGATACCCCATTACATACACGTTAACCAGTTTGGACAATCTGAACGAAGCCTGTGGTCACCAGGGATGTGGGAGCAATTCCAATCAGGATTGCTAGATTATCTCTGGAAGCTTGCTTCTGATAGCTTGGACAAGATGATGGCAGTCGGGTAGAAGCAGGGAATTCCTTGGCAGTAGGGAGGTTGAATACTTTCCTCATTGTGCTCTAATAAACTGAGGGACCTCTAGCAGCAGGAGAAACATCTCTCCTTTAAAAGCCATGTGTCCTGCTCAGAAGGGTTTGGCTTTGATGGAGACCAAATTGTCCCGCCAGAAAGGACATTGATGTCAAGGGGGCGTTTGGTGTCTTTTTTGGTTCTAGTCCTATGCAAAAAAGCATGTGTCTTAAAATATATTAACTATATTTTGGCAAACAATAGTTCCTAGGAGGTTATTATAGTATTATGGTATCCCTCTATGGGAAACTTTTCTATTTTGTCAGGATTAAAGTTTCTAAAAGTTCCTCTCCAAGTATTTAGGTTGCCGGCCTGGCTTGTAGAGAACAGCTTGAGTTCACCATCCTTGGTCATCATAGAAGGAGAGAGCAGGGCACAGTTCTGCTTTGGATGTCACAGGGCCAGGGATTTGTCCCAGATGTTGTAAGCAAGATTCAGGGGACACGGGTTCAAGTACTTCAGGTCTAGCAGTTTCTGAAGACTCTTTCGCTTGACTAGCTCAGGGAAGCATGAGTGAGGGATGCCTTCCTGGAAGATGATATATTAGCCTCCTTCATTCCTTTCAGGCTTTCCAGGAGGATAGGATGATGCAATACTGCTGGAGCTTGGGACAAGGTAGGTGGAAAGTCCCTGTTTTAATTCTTCTCCTGGCCAGACTTCTCAGCATGTTGGACTGTGCCTTCATGTTCTCCTAAACTGCAGGGGTTCTCACCTGTAGCCTTCTTGCTCTCTTATTATCTCTTGCAACACACACAGCAGGGCTTGAGTAGGAGTGGTTAACAAAACTTCCTTTCTTGATTCCCAAAGATCTTACTTTTCACATGACTTGCCACCATGGTCACCCCTGCTGATGTTTTATCTACACACTGTGAAGCAGGAGTCTCCTATTCAGATGTTACCTGTGTAGTTTCTGTTTCAGAGCCTGCAATTTGCCCTACCATGAGCATAGTTCAATCTGTACAGCAGATGGGTTTGACTACCTTCTATTTAGCTGATCCACTAGCACATTCATGGATACTGAATTCCAGGGCCCCACTACCCAGCCCTCTGAGGCATTCTCTTCCCCAAGCACTTGGGAAAGTACTGGAAAGAGAACCGTGTTTGGGTTGAGTCCCAACCTTGTCACATAGACAAGTCATACCCAACCTTGAGACTTTTTTTCTCCATCTGTAAAACAGGATTACCGATGTTTGATTTACCTCCTGCACGGGGTTGTGAAAAGTCAAGGAGAATGATGCAAAAATACTCATGAACTATCCAGTGCTGAACAAATAGAGGGCAGATAATGATGACACTGACAAAACTGACGAGGAAGACAACGATGATAATATGATAATTGTGCTTTGCTCGTAAAGTTACTTGATTTTTGACTGACTGATTAGATGCAGTTTCCCTGAATGGAGCTGCCTACCGCTTTCCTCCTAGGGCTTATCCAGACAACCTTGGGTAAGTCACTCAACTCTCTAAGATTAATTCATCGGTCAAATGGGGATAATAAAAAGCCACCAGGCAGTGTTGCTGTGACAATTGAAAGAAGTGAGTCAATAGATATAAAAGTGCCCAGAGGAGTGCCTGGACCTTATGAGGAACTTTGTCAGCTCTAGTTGAATTTGAATTTATATAACTCTAGAGGAAGTGGTGATGTTCCAAAACTTAGATGGGGCAGTAGAAAGAGCACGGACTTTATCGTGCTCATAGTGGCATATGACTTCAACCTCTCTGAGCCTTAATTGCCTCATCCATAAAATGGGAACAACAGCGTTCACCTCAAAAGATTTGTGTGTGTGTGTTAAAGGGAACGGTTTGTGGAGAGAGCTTTTCACAGTGCCTGACACTGCCAAGGGCTTAGTATTTAACAGCTCTCTCACCCTTATGCTTAACGTGGGTAAGTTGCTTAGAAGAAAACGCAAAGCCTCATATGGTCGTAACTGTGCTGCCTTTGTCCCCTTTTAGCTCTGGGTGCTGCCAGGTTGCTGCCAGGTTACTGCCAGGTGCTGCCAGGTGGGTCTGTGGCCCACCGTGCACTTTCCTGGTGAGACCCTGTGGCATGAGCACTGTGGCAAGAACAGTCACACGATTAGGGTCCCAAGGTGCCAGGACTCTTGCTCCCCCAGTTGCTGGGCCTCCTGCCTCTCTCTTCTGAAGCCAAGCTTGAGTGAGAGGCAGGTGAAAGGGCATTGACAGTGTCCATCCTCAGCCTGCTGCCTGGGACCTCACCAACTGGTGACAATTGGTCATATGGGGGCAGTCACTGGGAGGTGGTCTCACCTGGTCGCTGCTGGTGGAAGGAGGCCAGGGGCTGGTATGGAGGTGTTCTTACTCCCTGGAGGCAGTGGCTGGCATTGCTGAGAGCTGACAGTTTTAGTGTCAGGAGGTGGGGGGTAGGTTTGAGTTCTGTGCCACACCCCCTCTATACAAGTAAGTGACCAGGAACTGTTCACTCTTCTCAACACAGCACACTATGCATATTCTGGCCTCTGCCATTTGCAGACACCCTTCTTTGCCTACCTGACGAAGTAGATATTTCCTGATGACCCAGTTCACAAATCACACTAATCTTATAATTCTCATGGACATTGCTAGACACACATGATGGCTCCTCCTCTGGGCCTCCATAATGGCGTGCTCAGAGTCCTGACATATAGTCTTAAAGGGAATAGTTTTGGATCTCTCTCCTTGACCAGAGGGAAGTGCCTTGAGGGCAAGGACTGAGTCAATTCATCCGACGTTCCCAGTTCCTAGGGCACCGCCTAGCCCAAAGCAGATGCTCATCCAAAGTGAGTGTCTCCCCCTTGCTTGAACCATGACTGAGGCAGCCAGGTCACCATGGAACCAGAGTGGGCAGTCAGGGAGGGTGTCTGGTGGCCAGTGGTTGTGGCGGTCAGCAGCATGGAGGGATGAGAGGCAGGCGTGTCAGATCTCTTCCTCTTCACTGGCCTTACTCCAGCGGTGGCAGCAGTTGGCGGTGATGCCCAGGAGGAAGTTGGTGGCCACAGAGGCGATGGAGACCACGAAGCCCACGAATGCAATGAATAGGTAATCGTCCAGAGTCAGGGTCAGGTGGCAGGCCTTGAAGCTCTCCTCAGTGAGTGAGAAGAGCGGGGCGCCCTCGACTTCAGGGGGGCCCCGGCACTCAGCCAGCTGAGAATCTGTAACACAGAAGTCAGGGAGGGTGAGGTACCCAGGGAGGGAGAGGGGATTGGAGAGCCCCCCAACAACCGCTCGCTGGAAAAAGTAAGAAAGACATTCATTGCATTCATTGAGGTTCTTCCATGTGCCAAGAATTCTACTTATCTCTTTTTGTTCCCTCAACAATACTCAAGGCAAGGATTTTTATGCCTGTTTCTATAGATGTGGAAAGTACTGTTTAAAAGTTTAGCAATTTGCTGAAAGTCATCTGGCTATGACCAGTGGTAGATCTGGGGACACCATCATCTCTTACAACAACCTCCCCACTGGTTTCTGGGCATCAGAAGGCATCTGTCCTCAGCCTGCAGCCTGGGACCTCACCAGAAGCTGACAAACCATTTTAACACAGTCAGCTGGGTGGTTCTTTCCAACCTGATATCCTGCCATGCCTTCTCTACTTAAACCCTTCCCTGGATTCCTGTCTTTGAATGGAGCAAAAACCAAGGTGCTCCCCGTGGGCTCCAGGGACTGCTTCCCATCTCTTGCACTCTGTTCCTTATTTACTCTGCTCCAGCCACACACACCTCCTGGTCATCCTTCCATAACCCCAGAGTATCCCCTCTTGAGGCGGGGAAGGGATGCTTTTGCATTTGTCCCTTTGGGAGGGAGCTTCTCCCCTCGATCTCTGCACAGCTCAGCTCCCCACTTCCTTTGGGACTTGACTCAATGCCACATTATTAGTGAGGCCTTTCCTTAAGACTCTGAATAAAATAGCACCCCACTTCACCTCCCCCTGGGCTCCCTATCTTACTGCTCTTCTCTGTTTTTCTATGTAGTGTTGATTACTGCCTGAAAGTTTATTGGTTTATTTTCTGTCTTCTCCCCTTTCAATATAAGCCACTCCCATGGTATCTTTAGCATCAGAACAGTGTCCTGTCCATAGTAAGTGCTTGATGAATCTTTACAACATGAATATAAGACTCTGTCCAACTCCAAATCATTGGGCCTTTCCACTACTTATGTGGCTTTTCTGGATACACAGAGTATAGGTTAAGAGTATGGGTTCCGGAGCTATTGGCCTAGTTTCAAATCCCCTCTTCACCCCTTGCTAGTTGCATGATTAAGGGTAAGTTATTTAATCTCTCTGTGTCTTGACTTCTTCATCTGTCAAATGAGGATAATAACAGTATCTACTTTTTAGGGTTGTAGTGAGGATTCAGTGAGTTAACATATATGAATTATATGTTACATATTATTGTAATATATATAATATATATAAACTATATTTCAATTATATGAATTATTGTATTGGTTGTTTTCCCTAGACAGGTCATTGGGGGTCATATTCTGCACTCAGCCTTCTGTAGGAGGGGCTGCTTTTTCTGGTGGGGTTATTGTTATCTTCAGCATTGATGGTCTCATCTCATCCTTCTGGGGTTGCTTTTATGAGTGCATGATGGCTGTCAGTGGTCTTATCTCACTCTGCCTGGGAAGTAAAGGTAGTGTGCAGGTGACACTCGTGCCATGCAGCATTAGGCACCAGCTTTTGAGCAGCCAATCATTCCTTTGTTTAGTGGATAAATATTAATCAAGCTCTTACCTTGGGTAAGTCTTCTTTTTTTTTTTTTTTTTTTCTTCTGTCTTTCTGGCTCTCATGCTCTGCCTCTATAATAAGGGGCCTCTATAAAAAGGGGATAATCCAGCCAGGCACAGTGGCTCACGCCTGTAATCCCAGCATTTTGGGAGACCAAGGCGGGCGGATCACGAGGTCAAGAGATTCAGACCATCCTGGCCAACGTGGTGAAACCCCGTCTCTACTAAAAATACAAAAATTAGCTGGGTGTGGTGGTGCACACCTGTAGTCCCAGCTACTTGGGAGGCTGAGGCAGGAGAATTGCTTGAACCTGGGAGGTGGAGGGTGCAGTGAGCTGAGATTGCACCACTGCACTTCAGCCTGGGTGACAGAGTGAGACTCGGTCTCAAAAAAAAAATAAAAGAGGATAATCCAATCTAAATTTTCTGAGAGTCAATATGAAGACATTTTCTAAATTATGTGTTGTATAAATGCTATGTATTCATTCTGCAGTTTTTGAGGGCAAGGAATCAAATGATGGATTTGGATTGACCCTTTTAAGAATTGAATCAGCAGCAATATCCTTGGAAATGGGGAGTCAGGTTTGGAAGGAGAACACAACCTTCCCCAAATCCCAGGTTGAGTAATCCCTGTAGGCTGTGAACACAGGATCCGTGTCCTGCCCAGGCCAGGATCCTGTCTGGGGTTGACTCGCATGAGCTCTCCTCTGGAAACCCGAAGATGCTGAACTCTAAAGTCTGTTATGTAGGCGAAGTGGGTAGTGGTGAGACAGTGAGATGGGGACTGTGGCAACACTCATATGGACCAGCCAGAGGAGCCCCTGACAGCCGTTGGTGGGACCACACAGGATGCTGGATGGGAACATGGAGGCTGACAAAACCCCCTGGTATGTCAAGGCACCAGTCTTAAAGTCATGCTGTATCGCGGGGGCTTGCTTATTATGGCCCTCTTTGTTCAGTTTTTCCAAAAACCATGGGTAACAGTGGAGTTCCATGAAGAAAAAGGGAGGAAGCAGCTGAAAAGGACGTAAAGAGAAGAGCATCCCTAGTTCTGCCTCCACTGGCAAGGTTTTGTCCTTAAGGAGAAGCACCCTGGTGCATGTGACCTGGTGTAAAGTGTGTTCTGTGGAGGAACAGGGAACCTGGCTTTGCAGCTGGGCCTGCTTGCTTCCTCATCATGGGCCTGTGGACAGCCCCTGTCCCCCTCTGGAGCTCAGGTTCCTCACCTGTACTGACGTATGTGTGAGCCTACACTGATGAAATCTTGGACCCCTCTCCTGCTTGCTGGGAGTCTGAGCTTCTGCAGAGCAGCAGGGACCTCAGAGATCACAGAAAAGGAGTCCCTGGGTGTGATGGAAGCTTAGTGCTTCGGGTGCCCTTTCTGTTATTAGTGCACAGGAGAGAGTGTGGGGAGGCGCGGCCTCTGCCGAGGTTGAGCAAGTGAGGAGATTGCTCCAGGCAGCCTCCGCCTCCTGCCCTCCACCATCGCCCCATCCCAGTCCCCAGTTATTTTGGTGCCAGAGAATTTCCTCCTACAGTTCTGTGGAAACACAGGAATCGTGACCCACAGCCCTCCCCGAACTATTTTGGTCTTGGGCTCCCCACTCAGTCCTCCTCTCCCTTTTACCGCATTCAGCATTGCTTCTTCTCAACATGTGCTGAGCTCACGTTCTGGGAAAGCCCCTGGGGTAGGGCCTTCAGCTACTACTTCTGAGTGCTTGTGCCAAGCCTTGGTATTGTCACACAGGAGTGCTGGTGGCTAGGGCCGCGGCTGAACATTACCTGCCTCTGGGTCAGGCTCAGATGCCTCTGGGTTGGGACGCCCATCAAACCTATGTGATTTGGGCTGCTTCAGGCCCCAGTCTACCCTTCAGTTGGGATTGGCTGGTTGAGTTGCTGCATCTCAGTCTTTCTCTCAGCTCCCTACCTTGTGCCTAAAGTTTACACTGCTCAGGGCCTTGAGTTTGAGGAAGGCCAGGTTCTCATAGCTGAGGTCCAGGTCATGGAGCTGCATGAGGTCCTGGAACTCTACTGCAGCCCTTTGGCCAGTCTAGGACTCAGGTTCTGACTCTTCTGGCAGGCCAGAATGTGACTCATCAGGATCTAGTCAGGGAGATTGCCAGGACTCAAACCCTGGCTTCAACGCTTAGCAGCTGTGTAACTTCCAACAAGCTACTGAACCTCTCTGTGCCTCAGCTTCCTCCTCTGTAGAGCGGCAACCTCATTAGTGTTCTTCTGGGGATAGGAAGAGATAGGTAAAGCTGCTTAAGAAAGGGCCTGGTAAATAGCAAGTACTAAGGTTCAAGTTCCTCCTGGAACATGTTGGCTGTCACACAACTTAAGCTGTGGTAGCTCTGTTGAGATTGTGTCAGCCATTACTATTTATACGAGAGTTTCCAACACTTGGAATGCTAAAAAAGCAGTCTGGTAGACTAGAACAGGGCTTAGAAGTCAAATAAATCTAGGTTTTATTCATGGTCCTGCCACTTTCTAGTTTTTTAATTTGTATTTTTTTTCATGGCCGTGCCACTTTCTAAGTGCGTGATTCCTGTCAAGCCTTTTTATTGTCCTAAATCTCAACTTCTTCACCTGGAAAATGGGTATAATCAAAATGGGGGTCTCATGAGATAATGGAGGCCAAGATCTTAGGTCATGGTGAAAGCTCAAGAACCACCACCAACGATGTGCTATTCTCACTTGTCTACTATCCGTCTGCCTCGTTAGGTCATGAGCACCACAGTGGTGAGGGACATCTGTTTCATGAATGAATGGGCATTGCATGCATTGGAAGGATTCTACAAACAACCTGTTGGCAGAGCTGGTGTACAAAGAGGCAAGCCCACACTAGAAAACACAGTAGGTGCTTTCCGGCTCGAAGTCCCTCCCTTTTCTTTGGAGCCTTTGCTTCCATTGAGGCAAGCCCTCCCCCTGTTGGCTGCCCCGTCCTACCCCTCATTACCTGCTGTACAGCGCTGGATCCGGTTTCGCAGCCACTTCAGAAGGGGCTCCATGGTGCAGCCACACACCCAGGGATTGCCGCCGATCTGCAAGGTCACCAGCCCCGGTAGGCCCTCAAGAGCCTCCAGGCTGAGGAAGGCCAGGCCCCCATAGCTGAGGTCCAGGTCTCGGAGCTGCACGAGGCCCTGGAAGGCCTGGGGGTGCACCCTCCGCAGCCAGGGGTTGTGGCTCAGGTCGATGTGGACCAGCCCATGGGCCTCCTGGAACATGTCGGCTGGCACGTGGCTGAAGTTGTTGTAGCTCAGATCCAAGTGTGCCAAGCGCTTGGCATGGAGGAAGAGGCCCCGGGGCAGTTCCATTAAGGAGTTGTTGCGCAAATCCAGCACCCGGAGCTCCATGTAGCATGTGAGGTAGCCAGGCGGCACCGCTGTGATGCGGTTGTGGGCCAGGCTGAGGTTTTGGGTGTCCATTGGCAGGTCTGGGGGCACGGAGAATAGCCGCTGGCTGCTGCAATCCACCACCTGGTTATGGCATGTGCAAAGGACTGGGCAGCTGGTGCCAGCGTCCGAGTGCATCAACCCGGCTGCCAAGAGGAGGGAGACCAGCAGCATTGCCGGTTGGGGTGGCCCGGGCCAGGGAAGCTGGGCCCAAGTGTCACCCATCTTAGGCAGCTGGCAACAGCAGTGCTGGAGGGAGCCCATGAGGACTGTGTCCATGGAATCGAGAGTCTGTGACACAGGAGGGCAGCTACATCTGGGGCCAGAGTCTGTGAAGGTGGAGCTTCTGAGCATGTGGTATCATGGCTAGAGACTTTCCCAGGAGCCTCTGAGCACCAGAGGGCTTCCTGAGATCCACGGGAGGTCCCCTTCCGGAGCCTAGGGGGCGAGACACCCAGTTGAGGTCTCCCAGGGTCTGGAATGATGATCAAAACCTGAGAAAGGGAGGGGACAAGGATGGGGCTGGGTCAGCTGCCAGCAGGTCCTGGAAGAGTTCCTGCAGATCTTTTGTGTCTCTCTCACCCATGCCTGCTGGATGTTTCCTCCTGGTGCTGTGTCTGGGAGGGAGAGGCTGAAGGAGATCAAAGGTGCCCTTTAAAGATCCTTGGCACTTCTTCTGAGAAAACTTAAGTCCTGTCCCACGTCTGGGACTGATTAGGAAGCCAGGGTTACACCTGGGTCTCCAGTGTTGAAGGTCTCAGTGGCCATTTGTCCTGGTGGCCTGGTGGGCTTGAGTCCAAGGGGGTCCCAGGGTGGGTGTTTTGGGAAGAGGACCCGGGAGGAAGTGAGTCTCCATGGGTCTCCTAAAAGTCTGAGAGTCCTCAGCCTCAGTGGCTGCTGGAATCCCCAGGGAGCCTCTTTTTTTTCCAAAGAGAGGAGGACCCCAGGTGATGCCCACTGTCTGGGCCTCCGGGGCCAGAAGAAGCCATGAGTCCTGAAGGTGCAGGCTGAGGGTCAGCTGGCAGAGCTCTGGCAACTTCTCCAAGCCAGCGCCTTCCTCAGCACAGCTCTGTATTCAGCAGGTGGAGGCCGAATTCCCTCTGTCAACAAGAAAAACACTCAGGCAGAGAAATCCTGTGCCCTCGACACCCCCTTGTCCCTTCACCTAGGACCCTTGTCTTATCTCTGTCTCTTTCTTTCCTCCCTTCTTTGCTTCCCCCAACCACAAAGTTCTCTGCTTACTGTCTCTCAGGTGTGGGCCATGGTACCTTCAGACCAGGCTCACGTTGCTGTAACCCACGAGCCCTCCCTGACCCAACCTGCAGCCATCCTCCTCTCGGTTCCTGTCTTGGGTAAGATGCATTTTCTTCTTCTTCTCATCACCCCATCCCCATCAGTACCAAACACTCCACCCTTAAACAACTCCCTAAGAAAAACAGGCATCCACACTCTGGGGGTTTGCACACTCCTTTCAAACACTCTAAGCGCTTCTCTCTCTCACACACACACACACTCACTCACACACCATTCTGTGACTCCCCCATGTTTTGCCCTGCCCCATGCTCACGCCTCACGGTTTTCGCTCCAGCTTCCTTCTGCACAGGCGATTCTGCAGACCCCTCCCCATTCGACCTCCAGCATCTTTCGCCTGCCAGCCCACACCCCTCATCCCAGCATCCCTTTCCACACACTGCACTCTCCTGCTCGCCGCCCGCAGCAGAGGGACCGAGAGTGATGCCACGCCCAGAGCCTCAGCCCTGGCGCCCCGAGCCCTCTCGCTTCTCCCTTGCCCACCTGCTGTCCTCGGTCCTCCCCTCACCCTAGGCCTGGCGGTGCCTATTTTCCTACCGCTTCAAGCCTCAATCCCGCCCACTGGGAAATCACCCCAGCTCCCCTTCATGCAGACTCATTTTTTTCTGAGCCCCAGGTCTCCCTCTGCACTCCCACAGGCCCCAGGAGCCTACTCACTCCGTTCCAAGGACACAGCCATCAATCTGCGGCAGACGCGGGTCTCCCTCCCTCCTCCTGGAATCCCCGCTCGCTCCTTGCTTGCTTCGGAACAGATTGCCTCCCCGGCTCTTCCCCTCCCCCGGCCTCTCCTCCTCCTTGTCTCCTGGATCCCAGGCCAGCATCTTCTGTGATTTCCCGTCCTGCGGTCCCCCTGCCCCTTCTTTCACCCAAAAGGAAAATCACAGAGAAAGGATGCTCAGAAGAAAGTTCACAGAATCTGAATGCTTCTTTCTGAAACTCAGCTGGTGCCCAGGCTGCTGGGGTATAAGGCTTCCGGCAGAGCCAGGTCTTCCCCCTCCCTTCCCCCTTCCCGCCCTCTCTCTCTCCCTCCCTCCATCCCTCCCCCTCTTCTCTCCCTTTTTCACTCCCCTTTTTTCCTCGAGGGCCAGGTACTGACGTTTCACTGTCTCTTAGCAACTGCCTCCACATTTCTGAGCAACAGGAGAACTGGCTGTGGACCCCACCATGAAGAGAGAGGAGGGAAGGAAGCACCGGGCAGAATTCACAGCTGCCCACAGAATCCTGGGGATAGAGCGAGGGGAAGAAGGGGAGACAAGGGTGGGCAACTGGACAGGGGCAGAGAAAGAGGAGCAGGCAGGGCCCAGTGGGAGATGTTGTAGGAGGGCCAAGGTGTGGACCTGGAATCTGAGACAGAGGAGGGACAGCTTAAGGGCATCAGATCCAGAAGAATAAACTAAGAGGGCTTGCAATGAATGGAGAAAGGGACTTAATGGGGGATGGGAGAAGTGAAGAATGGGGGCATTGAACACATGAATAGGAATGGAAACAAAAAGGAGATGTGAATATGACAAGTTTGCCCACTTGATGGGATATATCTTTGTAGTCACCATATAATATCTACTTATCTGGGTTGGAATGTATTTTGGGCTCCAGGTATCAGGTGACTGGCTCAGGGCTTGTTAGGGACCATTATTGCAGGAGAGACCTTTTATATGTTCCCTGATTTTCCCTCAGTCCTGACCCCATGGCTTTCTGGGGCTAGGAGGCTTGGCTGGAGTGGACCGATTTCCCCTTGGCTTGGGATATGAGAACTTTTGGGATCCAAAGGGCCAACTTCTTGGCCAGGTGGGAGCACCTGGGGCTCTACAGACACTTGGATCTGTCAAGGGGAAAGGAAGCTTGTGATCCTTTCTTCTTTCTCCAGGCCCAAGGGATTCTGTCTGTTGTCTCGCTCTCATCCTTCTAAGCTTCCTTGGAGTGACTTCAGATGAGGATGAAATTTGTGCAATATCTGTTTTCTTGCTGACCCATTGAACAAGTCTCTAGCTGTCCTGCATTTTAAAAATTGTCTTGACCAGCTGGTTTGCTCAAAGAACTGGCTTATTTCTTTGCTTAATAAATATTTATTGAGCATTCACTGTATGCTGGGTACTTGGCCAGACAGTGGGTAACAAGATGAACATAGACTCCTCCCTCATGGAGCTGCTTCATTCTGTTGACCTGGGGCCTCTCGCGTTTAAGTAACAGCTTAGGTCTTTGGAGGAACCAAAATGGAGTAATAGGAAACAACGAGTGTGAAGTTATCCAGATTCTGGGCGTTTATAAAGTTCTTAAAATCATGGCCGTTGTCTTCGCTAACATGATTCTTTTTCCTGTACGCTTGTAGAAAATCAGCTCCCTTCTGTGTTCTCTCAGATGTTCATTTTGAATCTTTCATGTTCTGGCACAGAGTAACATGGCAGCCACTCCATAAATATTTATATATTGAGTTGACTGAGGTAAATGAGATTTCTCTCCCTGCTTAAAAAAGGAAATGTTTGTTCCATCTCATTTATGAGTTTAGAAGTAAAATATTAATCTTAACCCAGAAAACACAACACAATGAAACAAGTAATTCATTCTAACTGAGGACTGTTGGCCTTCGGAAAGCAAAGCTAGCGTCCTATGTGATTAACATTAACTGAAAAATGGTAGAAAACATAATTATCTGAATGGAGGCTAAAAAAGCTATCCAGCATAATTCAAAATTTAGTGTTGACTAAAGGTAACTTCTGAAGATTTTCTTCCTTTACAGTGATACAAAGTTTATATTTAAAATTAGAATTAATAATATAACTAAAGGAAAATATTAGTGACTGTGTTCCTTAGAAAATAGGATCTAGGTAAGAATGCCTCATCACTGTTTGAAACTTCAGTTTTCTGACCTATGAAGTAGGGATAATGACGCCTAAGTCACAGGGTTGTTAGATATATGAGCCATTATAAATAAAGCACTTAGAACACTATACAGTGAGCAGTACAAATGGCTCTGTCAAATGAACAGATAAAACAAAGTAAAACAAACAAATAGCAGAGTATAAAATCTCTGAAACAGTTATGGAGAAAGAAAAACAAATAAATTGCTCAGAAAGTAAAAAGTTAAGAAAGGAGAATATTACATTTGCACATGGTTTGAATGTATTCTTGTGCAAATGAGTTGCAAAACCTTCAGAAACCCGTAATTCAAGAACATTATCATTGCATATATCTTCTGTAGAAGTGAGGTTCAATGAGACAGAAATATTTTATATGACTTTATACTTTTAATCATTTGATGAATCATTATGGGATTCTGTGAATCCCAAATTGGTGTCCCAAGGTACACTGTGTGCCATGAGGTTCTTAAATAAGTTTGAGAAACACTGAGTTAAATAAAATGAAACTAGTTTATTTATTGTAAGATTTCTCAGAGGCTTTAATGTGTAAATGGTTAGGGCCAGTCTGCAAGTGACAGCATTGGGGAATGAGGAATATATAATATCCAGCATTTCCTAAACTTACTTGGGATCTGTAATTTTCTTTTATCTTCTGCTCTCCCTCCCCTACTGCCTTTCCCTCTCCCTTTCCTCTCCTAGTCTCACCTCTTTTACCTCCTCTTCCTTCTTTTTGTCAGAACTGTTAATATTGGGAATAGTTTTTGATGAGCATGGTTTGGGAAATACGAAGCTAAAATTTATTATAGACTATTCCTTGCTTAAGTATCTTTAGTAATAGCAGTTAGCTTCCATAGAAGTCATTTTATTTTTTTTACACAAAGAAATGTGTATCACTTTATGAGAGTTACTAGATATGTAGATAATAAATTCAATGAATTCATTCAATGAATTCATGTTGAGACACCCATACTTGGTGGCTGGCTGTTTCCTTTTGCAAAATGACTTTTACCTGCACAGCATTCTTGCAGTAGGAGTGATTCTATTTTGAACCCCAGCAAAATGATAAATGATTATGTGTCATGGCCTTTTGGGGTCTCTTGCAAGTTATTGAAACTGTGATTGTTCAATTCATGATTGTCAAGGATTTACTCTACTGGGAAAATACACAGACATCAATCAAAAAGTCGTACAAATGAAATGAGCTGAAAAATAATTTTCATTACTATGATTTCCCAAATACACGCTAAATTAGTTGTAACAATGGCAGGAAATCTTTAAATACATGAGAATTAATTTAATCTACCACATAAGAAATTCATTCAAGGAAAATTATGAAACCTTAATAGAATGCAGATAGAGGAAGAAATGGAAAAAGGTAATCTCTGTAGTTGCTGGGAATGTGTAAAAATAACAAAGATGATTCTGCTTTCTTCATTATCGTAGCTTAAAGTATCTGAATCAGAATCTGGTGAACTGGTAATGAAAACCATTTGGGAGAAAAACTGGCAAGAATGCACAGATCATGTTAGTGAGATGATGGTGATGATGATGACCATGGAAAATGCTTCCAAGTAATGATAATGGACTTATCTAACGAAAAGATTTTAAAAAGTTTTGCAAACTAAAAATCACTTGATGACCTCACTAAATATTTGTGCTTTCTATTCACAATAGCAAAGACATAAAATCAACCTAAATGCCCATCAGTGATAGACTGGATAAAGACAATGTGGTACCTATTTACTATGGAATACTATGAAGTCACAAAAAAAGAGTAAGATCATGTCCTTTGCAGGGACATGGATGGAGCTGGAGGCCATTATGCTTAGCAAACCAGTGCAGGAACAGAAAACCAAATACTGCATGTTCCCACTTATAAGTGGGAGCTAAGTGATGAGAACACATGGACACATAGAGGGAAACAACATGCACTGGAGTCTATAGGAAGGTGGAGGTGGGGAGGAGGGAGAGGATCAGGAAAAATAACTAATGGGTACTAGGTTTAATACCTGGGTGATAAAATAATCTGTACAACAAACCCCCATGACACAAGTTTACCTGTGTAACAAGCTTGCACTGTACCCCTGAACTTAAAATAAAAGTTAAAAACCATTTGTTCTTTGAAAAATGACCATAGAAGAGACTATAGTTTCTGGAAGTGGTTCTCACTATCAGAATATAGAATATGAAAAATGGGAAACTACAACAATGTTGGAATCAACCTCAAAGCAAGAAATGATCTTGAGACATTAGCTCCATACTTCATTTTTCTGCTCTGAAAAAAAATCCAAATGGTCCAAAGAAAGAAACAAGCCATAAAAAAATTACGAATCAGGAAGAGAGCAGAAAAGCACATTTATCTTAGCTGTGGAGAGAAGATATCTTTCTGTGTGTGGAGGAAATGTACCATGTCATTTTTCAAACATATGACATTAAAAGACAATGGGGTCTTGCTGAGCAAAAAAGGATAAAACAAAATCAGAGAGAAAGGAAAGACAGTCAATGGAAAAATAAACTTAACATGAAAATCATTTGACATAATACATGGAAAATACATTAAGAATTGCTACAAATACAGTTCTTACAAATTGCTGTAATACACGAATTACTCCGATACAGATACAGAAAATATAACATTGTGGTAGGTAAGATTCTAAGATGGCCCTTGTGCTAGATAGAATAATGGGCCCCCAAAATGTCCATTTTCTAATCCTCAAAACCCAGGAACATGT